GTCCTCACTTCTCTATGGAATCATAAACTTTTCTCTTTCTACAGGATAATCTTGCACCTTCTGTTGAGAAAAAATAAATAAAGCCTCTGCCTTAATCCTGTAGGTACTGTCGCTTGCTCTGGATGCCTTCATAGTCAAAAGTCTCAAAAGACGATATTTTCACATCTTTATTTCTCCTTCTAACTTTAACTAATCTCTGACACTGCTGAAATTGCTCTTCTCAAGGTACAAACAAACAAACAAACAAACAAAACCCTTACAGGTTACCAAGTTCAATGAGTTTTCTCAGCTTCTCTGCTCAGCTTTATCCAGCTTCTTAGCAGTAGTCCCGTTGACTGACCACATCTCTTTGAAATACCCTCTTCTCCAGGCTCCCAAATTCCACTTGCTTACAATTTGGTTCTATCTCATGGGTCACCTCTGTTCAGTTTCCTTTGCTGGCTCTAGTTCCTCTGTTTTATACATAAAAGTTGAAGCGCTTCAAGTCTGTGGACAAGATCTTATTTTCCTTTTTAAAACTATTGTTGCCTGGCATGGTGGCACATGCCTGTAACTCCAGCATTTAGGAAGCTGAAGCAGGATGAGTGCTGTGTGTTCGAGGCCAGCCTGAACTAGATAGGGAGGCCCTGTCTCAAAAAAAGTAAATAAACTTTTAAAAAGCTACTCTCAAAAAACTGATCTCTTTTATTCCTATGGTTTAAATCATATTCTGACAGTTCCAAATTTGTATCTCTCATCTAGGCTTTTCCTTGCATGATGGACACACTCAGTATACTCAATATCCTTCCCAATTTTTAATATAAACTTTTTTTTTGGTATCAGAAATCAAACTCAGAACCTTGCACTTGCCAGGCAGGCACTGTGCCGCTGAGCTGTGTCCCTGGCCCTGCCTTCCCAATTAAAAACAAAAATTCATTTTTACATGTATAAAATGTTCAATGTTACATGTGGAGTAGCCCAAATGTAAAAAATGTTAATAGATCATTTGTATTTAGGTGGAAGTTGGCATTATCGTAAGTTGAATCTATAGTCTAACTTGAATCTTATTTTGCCATTAATACTGCCAAAATTCCATGTCACATTCGTGTGTGTGTGTGTGTGTGTGTGTGTGTGTGTGTGTATGCTGCTGCAGATCCAACTCTGGGCCTCACACATGCTGGGTAGGTGTTGAACAACTGAGCTACATTTCCAGCTCCAAATTCTAATATAAAAAAAAAAAACTCATAGTGTATGTACTTAGATTCCATTATATGCTACTTCATATGTATAAAACAAAAAAACTCATGAGTTCTTTCCACTGTGAAAATAACTGAGAAAAAATGAAAAGTATTCATGTAAACTGTTCATTACATTAGAATTTTTCCATACAGAAAACTGAAGTTCTTTGAACAATTTTAGAAGGAAAGCTCAGTCTATTGTTAGTTTTGTAGAACAGAAGCAAATAAACACGTTTGAGCTGTATTACCAAAGATTAGGCAGGCTACAAGATGAATCTAATTGGATGTGAATGGTCAAGATCAAGGCTGTAATTAATTTTTCTTTGTTTCCTTTTTGAACTTTTCGAATCAGTTCTATTTCTGCCATCTGTTCTGCTGAATACAGGAGGAATCTTGTGTTTCATTTAGCCCTGCCTTGGTTACACTTCCGCCAATACCAAGTTGCAATCTGTGGCTAAGTCTTAACCCCTTGCTCCATTTACCACAGATACTGGGATACTGTTGCTCTATCTTTTCTCCTTCTCTTTCTCAATCATTTTTATTTTATTTTAAAAATAAAAGAAGGAAAACATATTAACAGACATCCATTTACAAAATAGCATAAGAACAATACAAGCAATACAGAGTTATAGACAAAGTGGTAGGAAATTAACAATGTTATGTATTGATATCTTCAAAGTGGTTTCTCAGGAAAACAAATAGAGACGTGCAAGATCGATCAAATAAGTAATCAGTAACTGTTCCTTTCACTAAAGCGATAGAAGTCAGTAGTACAACTGTTAGCTATCCTGTATATACATACATACATACGTAATTTCCCCTTCTTTCTTTTCTCTTTTCCCTCACCCCGGTTGCTCTTTACTTTTGAACACTTTCATTTCACAATGTCTGTCATACCTCCTAATTTTTATTCACTCTTTCAGGTTCTTACACTAGTGAGACAACACGTTGCTTACACATGGAGGTCTGGTTTATTTCACTTATGAGTATGGTCTGTAGTTGTGACCATTTACCTGTAAAAGCCTCGAGTTTATCTTTCTTTATAGCTGAGTAATATTCCATTATATAAAAGTACCACAATCTTTTTATCCAATCCTCAGTGGATGGACGTTTGGGTTGCTTCCACAATTTAGCAATTACAAATTGCACTGCTGTAAACATGGGTGCACATATATCCCTGTCATATAATGTTTTCAGGTCTTCTGGGAAAATACCCAGAAGGGGAATAGCTGGGTTGAATGGGACCTCTAGACCTATTTTGCTGAAGAATCTCCAGACTGATTTCCACAGTGGTTTCGCCAGTCTGCGTTCTCACCAGCAGTGGAGAAGACTTCCTATTTCTCCACAGCCTCGCCAGCATTTGTTAGTGGTGGAGTGAATTTGACGCCTTATGGGCGCTGCCATGTTGGAAAACATAACGAAATTCTGACTTAGCATGTGTCTTTCCGTTTATCCTCCCTATGACGACCTTTAAGCCACAGTGAGATCTATGGTCCTTTTTCACAGGTCTTTATCCAGAGTTAATTTCTCTATTTACACCATAGTCTGACTATACACAGTCTTTAAAACCATTTAATCCCAGCACTCAGGAGGCTGAGGCAGGAGGATGGATGTGAGTTCGAGGCCAGCCTGGGCTACAAGGTGAATTCAAGACCAGCCCAAATTGCATAGTGAAACCCTGACTCAAAAAGACAAAAATGCAAAAGCAAAACAAATAAATACATTAAAAATTTGCAACGTCTTAAAAAATTGAAAACCTGCATTAATTTGATATTATGCCTGAGCTTTCCTACAGATTGACATTCTATTTCTTCTCTGCATTCAATTTTGTCCGAATGCTGCAATTTGCCACAGGAAGAGATGGAGGACATACGAAACTAATATATGTCTGCCACCCCATTCCACTGTTTTGAAGAGAAATTTGTTCGTGTATTTCTATTCATAGCAAGACAGCAATACCTGCTTTGAAGTCTGATGGGGGAAAACGTTTCATGTCTTTAAACTGAGGGGAACGATAAGGGCTTTAGCCTAAGAAGCCATGGAACTTCTCTTCAATTTTCTTTTCTTTGTCTTACATAGGTAAGTGAGAGAGGGGTGGGGCAGCTGAGAGAATTGTAAAAAGCAAACTAAAACGTTCTTCATGGTTAGCAAAAAGCATTACAACAATAATTTAGAATGGAGAAAGCAAAGCTAAAGAAAGCTACCTCAAAGAGCTGCTATACCAGTCAGGGAAAAATACAGTAGACTTTAGCTGTGAATTGAAGAGTTACTTGAAAGCACTATTTAAAGGTTTGGGCAGAGATAAGGGACTCTAGAGGAAACTGTAGAATCATGTTCACCGGATGTAGGAAAAGTGTAGTGTCATCCTAATGGTCCTCAGTGCTGTCATGATGAAAGGGCATCCACGAACTTTGCAGTCAGACTGCCCAGAGATCCAATGCCACCCTTACCACTTTGTATGGGCGTGACCTTCAACAGTGTAACAAACTGATCTGTACTTCGGTTTCCCTATGTACAAAATGGAAGATAAAGTATCTCACAAAATTCTTGAGAAAGGTAGGTGAGAAAATATAACTGTTATATTAGCACGCAACACAGTGTAAAGCACTTAATAACTATTAATAACTATCCCTTATATTTACTAAAATGTTGGCCACGGAAACTGTTTGCACTTAGAACGGAATTTCGCTGTAATAGAATAACCCCCTCCCCAAAGAAAAAGGAGCTGAAATCAAAGTTTATTTCTTTTTCACATAAAACCCAGATCCACACGGGCCAGGTTCGATTTAGCAGCTCTGATCTAAGAAGTCCACATATACTTTTTACCTCTCTGTTCTGCTATCCTAAGTGAGTGGCTGTTTTCTTACAGTCCAAAATACTGTTTGCTACATCCTTGCTACAAGACGCAGAATAAAGGAAATGGGAAAGAACTGGCGAAAGGAAGGGGCCGTCTCTTATGGAAGGTTTTGTAAGCTTATATTCTATTGGCCAGAATGTTAGTCAGAGGACGTACCAACTTACAAGGGAGGTTGGGAGATGTAGTCTTTATTTTTAAGGAAGAAAGAAAATACACACACACACACACACACACACACACACACACACACACACACACGATCTTAATAACAAAATTCTTTTTGATGTAAAATATAGAGAAATGCACCGGGGAAGTGGGGGATATATGTGTGTAATCACTACCACTCAGAAGGGTGAGGCAGGAAATGACAAGTTCAAAGCCAGCCTGGGCAACCCTGTCTCAAAAATAAAAAAAAGAGCCGGAGATGTAGCTCAGCAGTGCAGTCCTTGCCTAGCATGTGTGAGACCCTGGGATTTGAGCTCAATCCTCAGTACCGGTACCACCACAACAAAAATGTAGATAAACGTAAAAATTCAGAATGTAGACCATCATCAAGTTGATATAGTCTATTACAGTGTAAAGCTAGATGTCTAAAAATAGTTATAATAAAATTAAATAAGGTTAGTGTCTATAGGGTTTTCCTTCTATTGGATACTGTGAACTCAGGATGGAAATATGATAGTAGCTTTTCATATGGACTCAGAGTTGTGTTCAAATTTAGTAAATGATGTTTTTGTTGTTATTCCGTCTACATAGCACTTTTTAAAAAAGCAGAAAATGAGATAATCGACCTCGCGCTTGCCAGGCAGGCTCTGTGCCGCTGAGCTAAATCCCCAGCCCCACACCCCACAATAGCTTAAAAAAGGTTCAAAAAGCTATTATTAAGTTTTCCTTTTAAGAAAACGCTCTGATCCATTCAATGATAGTTTATTTACTCTTAGACTTTTATTGAAGGTGGCAGAACACTGTCTTTACTGCCTTACAGTTTAGTGCTCATAATATAAAAGATGCACACGCAGGAAAAAAGACGGCAAAGCCCCAAATACCAAGTGGGTCTGCGCGCTCTGCGCAGGAATGTTTTCGCCCTGGTGAACTCGGTGAACGTGCTCTCGGGGGGCCTCGTCCGAGGTCTGCGCCCACAGCGCGCGGGCTGGGAGTGGCCGCGAGGACTCATCGGGGGAGCGAGAGCAGCTGAAGCGTAGAAAGCGCCCAAGGAAAGCAGTGCGACTAGGGTGGAGGTTGAACAAACCGGAGCGTCCCGCACTCGCGGCCCGGCGTTTAGCTCTTGCCGCCTCCCGCGCGCGGCGACCAGCGTCTGCTCCGCAGCGGCCCGGCGCCCTGGACGCGGCCCGGCGCGCGGACTCGGAGCGCGCTGCCCTCTTCCGCCCGCCCTCCCCCGCCGCGTGTCGCTGTCGCCCCTCCCGGGCGGAACTCCCTGAAACACATCCCGACCCGGCCGGAGTTTCTGCCGGCTCCTTTAGGGGTGGGGCCGAGACGCAACTTTTGGAAACTTGGGGCCAAGAGGACTGGCTGACCGCGGCGCCGCGGCGGCCGTCGTAGGACGCGCACCCGCAGCCGCAGGCGGGCGAGGGGGGCGGGG